ACAGAACAACGGCGTGAAATGGAAGTGGTATACTTCTGCGTAGGTCTAACAAAATATAAATAAAACGTACGTAATCGAATTCAGAACCTCCTGTTGGTTGAAAATACAAATTCACAACAGAATTTTTGCAGGGATGATAAGATACCTACTCCTTGCACTGTATCAAGTGCACATGGCTTGAAATATATCCTTTGTATAAACCGACTACAAGTAATAAACGCAAGCATATTCATGGCTTTTAATTATAGCCCAACCCAAATCCTAAGTAAACTTAAATCGTTTGTTTCCAGCTATTTTCGTCCTTTACTAATTTTAGAGGGAAAGTGTTCATTGTATTAGATACTATTAGATAGTCGATAAGAACATATTATCTATATTGACGGATATAATAATCTATATATTATTACCTCTGTATAGAGGAGGCCTTTGCCCAGCCGTGGGACATGTATTAGCTGTTACTTTACTTTATTATTTTTATATTATTATTAATCAGTATATTATTCGGTGGCACACTTCGATACCACATATACGAGAAATGGAACTATATAGTAACTATCACCGCCTCAAAAACTTGTCCGTAAATTTAATGGCGGGAACGCAAGAATTTGCATTCGTGTTTGCCCTGTATCGATTTGGTTATCGTTTAGAGCTCGCAAATTAATATCTTCGCCGAGAATTTGATAAAGCGGACCGCAGAGCGCCAAAATTGTTCCGTCATTATTCAATAGAGGGTTCAACGACTGCCCACCTGTCATATTCCTCATTAATGCCGTCCTTATCTAACCAAGGGATTCGTACATTCGTTTTCCCGCTCGCGCTCTGACAGAGGCAGGTATTGTTGATAGCTTAATGGTATAGCTAGTGCTGTTCGCTGTACAATAATATATCGAAATAAAAGGTTACGGTAAATCTTTTATCTATTTGAAATTGCGGTAATTTTACTTTTTATACAATTATTGCAATTACCGTTCGTCACAATGCCAAGTAAAGTGAAAAAAATGTAAACAGTATTTTTTATTTAAGGAAAAAAAATTAAGAAAAGTACTTTTCAACTTTCTAAAGCGAGGAAAATAAAGGAAATACGTTTAGAGGACATACCTAAAAACAATTATTTTCATTTATAAGATTATGATATTATTTTAAAAAGAAACAAAGTTTCGCAAACAATTTGCGCATGTTTCCTTAACTTGAACTTTGCCGCGGACACTGCGCTGTTAATTATAAAAAAAAAAAAATTAAATAATTTTAGTTTAATCATTACTTCCTTGTTTTGCGTCATTGTTTATTGTGAAAACGGTTTTTGTTTTCTGCTCTTTTACGAGCAACCAATAAAGTTTAATTTTCTTCTCGGCTTTATTCTCTTGCGGTAAGAGACCGAGTTTTATAGACCCAAATGAGGAAAATTACACAATGCTTTTGCAAAAGCTTGACGTTTTGTGTCACAAGAATACTCATCTTTAAGAAAATTATCCCACATTGTATTAAATATATGTAATTTGCGGGTAAAGCATTTTTTTTTTTCATTCCGAAATATTATTTTATAATATTGGTTCAAACATCCTAAGATAGAAACCATGAAAGTAACAGATGATTAGAGAGTGAAGAGTAAGTAGAGATACCAAGAAATGAACATTATGAACAAAGTTTTTGATTAATAAATATTAATGGATTGTATTGATTATTTGGCATTTGTGCACGACTACTAACCTATCCAATTGACAAATTATGTAGATTTACCATGTTATGTTTAGGCAACAACCTTATCCTCTGGTGTCGTTATTTGTCAATGGATTTTAGAAGAGCGCGGTTTGCATTGTGGGTATGGGTGATTTTTAGGGTTCCGTACCCAAAGGGTAAAACGTGACCCTATTACTAAGACTTCTTCGTCTGTCTATCTGTCCGTCTGTCACCAGGCAGTCTATTCAACTGTCTAACTATGAGATACACTCATGAATCGTGATAGTTAGACAGTTGAAATTTTCACAGATGATGTATTTCTGTTGCCGCTATAACAAAAAACAGAATAAATAAAAATTGGCGACCCGAATGGCGTAGCGGGTAGTGTACCTGCCTTCTGCGCCAGACGGTGTGGGTTCGATCCCCACTACTGGAAAGATATTGTGTGATGAGCATAGTGTTTTTCTAGTATCTGGGTGTTTATATATATGTAATGTGTATTTATTTACAAAATAAAAGTACGTTTAAGTATGTCTATCAGTTTTCTAGTACCCATAGTACAAGCGTTGCTTAGTTTGGGACTAGAAAACGTTGTGTAAAAAATGTGTCCTAAAATATTTAATTATTATTTAAGTGGGGCTCCCATACACCAGACGTGATTTTTTTTTGTGTTTTCATAGACAATGCTACGGATCCCTTTGTGCGCAAGTTCCACTCGCACTTGGCCACTTTTTCAAATGCATTTGTCTTTGTTCTCAGAGATGGGTAGCTCATTGTCTTGTATACCCGTTGTATACCCGTTGTCGGCACTAACTAACTTATTACGTGCTCAGCGGTGATTTTTTTTTTACTTTATACACTCACATCGTGAAGAACTCTGTTGACTATGTATTTTCGAAATAATAATAAAAAAATATTTTGAACATATGTGAAGTCCGCCAGTGCGAGGTTCCGTGGTGGACTATGCCCTAATACCCTCTGTACAGAGGAGCCCTTTGCCCAGCTGTGGGACATATCTAGGCTGCTACTTTACTTCGTCTTTGTTCAAACGTATTTTCTATTATATTTAAAGAAAACTATAAATGTAGTATTATCAGATCCATTACAAAGTAAGAAAGAAACACATTTATTTACGTTCTTATCACAATAAATAAATTACAAACTTAAAAATTCAATTATACAGAACATAAGTCTATAATCTTGCAACTTTTGAGTTTAAAGGACGGATACAAATCGTCATAGTTAATTTATTTCATTGAGACTGACACTACTATATATCAATTTAGTATGGTAAATATTCAGTTTAAAATCGACGTTGAAGTTTAAAATCTTACATAATATATTGAAAAGGAAGTTAAAAACAAATAACTTTGTTTGGATAAGCAGAACTTTGAAAAGAAAAAGAAATATTTTCCTGACAATCCATAGTGTCATTGACATATTTTTAGCTACTTTTATTTAGTATATGTTCTATAAATTGAGCCATTTTCTATGAAACACTGTAGCTAAAATTTATGTTTCCATAAACTAGTTTTTTTTGGCAATATGAAAGATATTGTAATAAAAAATAACCCAAATAGTACGAATTATGTGGAAAGGGTAAAACTACTTTTATCACTTTTTACATTTTTCTAGTAAAAGCCCAAAAGTCCCAAAAGTCCCAATCACTGTTTCGACCGGCCATTAAATCCGGGTGAACAAACAAAATGTCAACAAAATGGACGCTACGCTCGTTCGTGTTTAGTCTGTTGTTTTCCCGCCATTGCGGCTCGGATTTAGGGTTGTCGCTTTCTCGTAATAAGCTTGTTAAATACCACTCCTTACCTCTCTTGTCGAAATATGAATAATTTGTACCTCTATTCTCTATCAACTATTTTAGCGCATTTACTTTAAACATTAATTGGCGATGTTTCGAATACTTTGCACTGAATGCTGCTAGCGTTTAGAGCCTAAACACGACCATGAATATGGTCACGGGAATAGAATATAGAAACATTAAGGTTTCGTTTATTTATCGAAATTAAATGATTAAAACCTCTAATTATGAAAAGAGTGGGAAGATAGTTGAAATATTCTGAATTTTTTCATTTAAAAAAATGCGCAGAGCCAAAACAATGTTTCACCTATTTGCGCGGGAACGCCCGCCCTTTCTATCCGCAACAATTCGAATGACATTTTCACGGTATTTTTTGTGGGCAATTTTAATCGCTGTTGCCATTTCGGAGGGCTTGGCAACGGGGCCATTTCATTTCGCTCCGTTTCTTTTGAGCGCGCATTCGGAAAATTCGCCAGTTTTCATTATGTCGCCAGTTTGCGGAATCCTATTGTGATAATAATATTTTAAAAAAACTGTTATTTACTCAAACGCGGTTGCGGTGAGACTTAAAATATTAATGCTATTACCGGAAGAATGCCCGTAACACAAGTGGTATAACTTTTGTGACCTTCCAAGTGCTTCAAGTTTTCTGGTTTATGTCAACTGGAAACATGCCATCGGCTAAAAAGCAATGTTTCAAATCGCAGCTGAGCCACTTGCTCAATTGGCACGAAATTAAATTGTTTTTTTTTTTACATAAATTTTGGAAATATGATAAGGCCTGATATTTTTCATCCCGATCTATAGACGGGGACGGTATGCTTGACCATTCGTGCTACCAGTTACTTTTTTTGTACATTTTTTTATATATTGTTTCATGTTACTTTTGATTTGATTACATCATATGTTTTTTGTTACTTTTTATAAGATTTTTATGTTAATTTTTGTAATTTTTATCCTTTTCTTCTGTTTTCCCGTTTCTCGCACTAAAACCGTACCATTAACTGAAATTAAGCACATGCCTGACGCACGCACATGTATGAATTGGTGGATACATTTCCGATCCTGGTTTACTTTCCCATTTTTGTTGTTTTTTGAGTTTTTATTTTATTATAATTTTAGTTTCTTACTTTTGTTATTGATAAATGTATTATTGTTATTGTTTTGTTTTGGACTCGGGACTATATTCCCCAATGCTTTGGTCATTACTGAAAATCAGCGTTGCAGTTTCACTGCAACATTCTGCTGAGTGATGTCCTTTTTGGCATGAACCGCGACGTACTATAATGAAAAGGGAAAATATGCATATTGGAGTTTTATGTTCATGTTTTTTTTTTGTCTAATTTTATTGTTTTTAAATGATTGTTGTGTAAGTCAGTCTGTTTTATGTCAAATAAATCTCTTTCTTTTTTTCCAAAGATTTCCTTCTGTTGCTTGAATCGACCCTAATGGGTGCGTTTTTTTCCTTTCAGGATAATCTCTAAAATGGTGCAGTGATGCGAGAGCGATGCTGCTGCAGCAGGCCACGTCGTCGCCAGGTCCGAGTGGCACGGCCAGCCCGAAGCTCATTCCCAGCCCGAAGCCCAACGCCGGCTTCTCTAGGTTCGCCGGCAGCCCGATCCTGAGCGATGGCGCCTCTACCTCCAGCAGTCCGAAGTTCGGCACGAGCCCCAAGCTGGGCGCCAGTCCCAAATATGGGAGTCCTCGCTTAGGCAATGGCAGTCCTAAGCTCGGGAGGACAGCAGAAGACGAAGCCGCCTTGGAGCGCCTGCAAGCCGAGCTGAAAGAGGGATGGACGGTGCACACTGGGCGTGATGGCAGACTTTATTATTGCAAGTGAGTAATCTTTTCATGAACAGAATGGTGTGATATATTAAAGACTAGCGACCCGCCCCGGCTTTGCACGGGCGCAATGTATTATACATATAAACCTTCCTCTTGAATCACTCTATCTAGTAAAAAAAACGCATCATGATCCGTTGCGTGGTTTTAAAGATCTAAGCATACATAGGGACAGACAGACAGCGGAACGACTTGGTTTTGTACTATGTAGTGATACTGTTCATAGGTAAATTAAATAATCGAGCCCTATTGAAGGCATTGGGCTTAGAGAAGTGTAAAGTGTAAAGACAATAATAGCCTGACGCAGATAATTTATGGCGCAAAAGTGAGAAACTAAAACTAAGAAATGGATGCGAAGGAGCCAAAGACTAAGTTTTCTCAGTCCTCTGGATGATGGCGATAAAGAGTTGTTGTTTGTAAACAAACTATAAACAATTCCGAGGATAGCTATAAATTGGTACTCGACCACAAATCTACCTGGTACGTTCACTATTTCTGTGTTTTAATATTTTTGACATCGTTATACGAAGGGAAAGAAAGTGCTGGCAAATTGTGCTTGACAAAAGTTGGTTCGTGTCTGTATGTTCAAAGTTTTTATACAGTTTCAAAGTTTACTTAATTTAGGAAGCGTTTGTTTTCATGCTGTTTGCTGAATTTATTCAATTCTCCTTTGAACATATACTTTATCTATTCGTTAAAAGATTTCCTTTCTTTTTTCTTTGTTTGAAATTTACCTCTATAACTGATTATAGATTACAAAAGTTAAAGTTAAAGGTAACACAAAGCCGAAAATTGGGTTGACAGGCGAGACTTAGGAAGGGCTTATGTTTAATAATGGGCTGTCGCGGGCTGTTCAAGATGGTTGAAGATGAAATGACTTATTTCTGAGATAGACCAACGACTTTCAGGTCCTGAATCACATCTACAAATTTTTAATGAGTCTGCTAATAAACGTGCTGATTTGTTAGTGTTTTATGCCATTTATATGATTTCGAAACTGTTGTTCTTTTTTGCATAATCTCGATGGTCACCTAAGCTATAAAACAAGACGTATGTCTAGCTAGAGTAATAGAAATACAAGCTTTGATCTCTAAAAACGGCCTTTGTTCAGAGTAAGAGAAGCACTTAAAAGAGCTCCCGTTGTTTTCCGATGCTGCTGAAGTTATGACGGTGTTAATATCGGTGAAGCCAATGACGGAACCCGTTCGTTTCCATCGAGAACATTCCGGCCCGTTCACGAATCCGTTAAGATTTGATGGACTTTACGAGATAACGCCTTCTTGGTGACTTGGGAATTCCTTTCCTTAATGTGACCAAAATGTCGTTGGCCACTTCCTGTTTTTGAGAAAGATGTAGTGTTCACAGTATCGCGATATGACGAGTTCCAGGTGCAGGCACGACTATGTTAAGGAATAAGAAAATTTTATTTACTGTACAACACGAGACCATATACCTATCTATAATGACATTAGTCGACGACCCAAACTGTTGACATGAATATAAAAAACGTCGTCCTTTTTAAACACACGATTGATTGTTTAATGTAATAATTTTCAATTCTTTTATTTCATAGATACATGATTGAAGACATTTAGACACAATGATTGAAAATAATTTACTATAATACTTGCGTTAGTTAATTTCATTTATTAAAGTGTATAGTACCTATTCAAGAAAATAATTAAAATCTTATTTACTGATGTATACAATATAGACAGAAGTATAAATTCTTGTTTATAGGCCGATTATTATGTGAGTTAATGGTACTGTCACGTTGAAGGCGTCTCATTTGGTGTGTGCAAAATAAATTTACCATCAAAACCTTACGATTTCGTCGTTGACGTTTCATAAAACGGGTCGACTGTGTCAGTTCATACAATTTACGGTCGCATTCCGAGCACGTCGCGACCCTAGACAGTCTTACGATAAATAACACATACCGGAACCCGTCGCGCAATGGATACTTTTACTATTTCAACGGGAGCGACGCGGATTGAATAGCGAACGGTTTGCCGACTTGCGGAAGGCAACCCTGTGAAATATTACGGAGGAATTGCATACTGTTCGATGTTGGAAAACGGAGGTTAAATATGTGCATGGACGGCCTTTGGAAACTGCTGTTTGTTCTGTGAATGAGAATTGAATAGGTAATCGTTCATACCACTGACGTTTTAGAAAGGCAAAGGATTTGAGATTATGGATAAAAGAAGATTTTATGTGCTGAGATAGATGTAGTAGAAGTTAGGAAGAAGGTGACGAGTAAAAGAGTGCGTTTGACATGGAAATGACATGGGAGATGTAAAAATGAATAAATTCCAAATATTTCTTCGCGGGAATATGGCACCCTCCTGATTTTATTTTTAAAATGAATATTTCATTATTTGAAAGTTGAAAATGTATTATTTTTTTGTGATATAATTTCTGAATATCTGATTCTTCCTCGAAAACGGGCAACATCACTGTTAATAGTTGAGGTGAGAATTAAGGATTATGACTTGAAGCAACTGAAAAAGCATTTGAGCTCTATCAAACCTGACATAGTGGTTGGGATGATCCATAGTATCACTGCAAACGAGTTTGCATTCTGCGAACACAGTGCACTAAATATAACGGATTCCTTTTAAGGATGATTCGCGAAGCTTCCTAATTTGAGTGGAAATGAGGGCTGGATGTTACCATTAGCATGGGATCCTCTGGCAGGATTCAATTAGCTTCTCCTAGGTAGATTGGGCGTAAAAATAATAAAAAAAACAGATAACAATAATATTTAGACGTCCAACGCCTCAGTCTGTCCTATGAACCATGCTACGGAGTAGGTAATATAAAGGTCCGAAATTAAAAATATTAAAGATAGCTCCTTACCAGCTCACATAAAATTTTTCGACGGGATTAGGGACAACAGACAAAATTTTGGTTTTAATGAGGCATTAATTTTATTTCATAATAATATGTATATTTACATTTTCCTCCGTAACTGGTAACTGAATCTTCTCATAACCACGTTTGCGAGCTAAGTTGGAGCTGCTAATGAGACCGTTATTAATGGTACACCATTACATATGAAAAGTGTTTCAGAATATTTCTACAATCCCGCAATTAGTGACAGAAGATGAAAGATGCAAGCTCGTTTAATCCGTAATATCGTTCAATCCGTAATAGCGTTTGTGGCAGTCGTCACTAAGAAGAGTTATATATGTCGGATTAAGAGTTTTAAGTATATTAATCGCGAAATTTTATTGGCTAAATACAACACACAAAGATTGAACAGAGAACGTAAAAGAAAGTAGAACGTTGTAATTAAGTGAACTTTACGGGATAAAGTGTACCTACAAACCTACAGAGTAAATAAAAGACTTAACAATGAACGCATCGATCCGGCGTCGGCGGCGCGTTATTGCATCTGTGGCACGACGCGATGGCGGGAAGCAACGCCGCCCCGTCTGCGTGGTTTGTTTCCGTCGTCTGGCTTTATGAAATAGAAATGTCTTCACAAAAATTCTGACTTTTACATGGGCAATCACTTTGTTAAATAAATCTGTTTTACATTGATGATGGCATTTTACGCATACATATTATAGACTAAATTAGATAATAAAATAATGACACTCGCGTTCTATATATCTATGAAACTGCTGTATTTTTATAAAGCAACCCCACATTATTTCCACTGTTGTCAAATGTTGTATACGCAGGGGTAGAAAAGCACTTATGCGAAATAGCGTCTTTTTTATGGCGTATTATAATAATATATAATAAGATATCAATCAATATAAAGGTAAGTATTTTAGATTTTAAAAAGAAATTGAAGTTAAATCTTTATGACAGAATTCATTATAACCTAAGTGAATTTTTTAATGACAATTTAAATGAATCTTAAATGTAAATGAATATCTAAGTGTATCAATGTTATTCTAAAGGTCCGCAAGTATATTTCATTAGATATCTTATGTTTTTAAAACCACTGTTTAGTTATCGATATATTTCTATTTTGTTTTTATTTTTTTTACTTTTTCATTACTTATTATTCTTTATTACAAATAAAGTGTTTATTATTATTATTATTATCATCAGAAAAAAAATATTATGAAAGTATATTTAAGTAATCCATACTAATATTATAAATGCGAAAGTAACTCTGTCTGTCTGTCTGTCTCGCTTTCATTCCAAACCTACTGAACCGATACAAATGAAATTTGGCACACAGTATGGAGCCTGAGGAAGGCTATTTTTAATTGGAAAAAAGTGTGGTAAAATATTGAAAGCTATTTATTTAAGGGCTTTAACGTGAGAGAAGCCGCGGGAAAAAGCTAGTAAATTATAAAAACCACTGTAACAGTAGTAAAAGTTGGTTGGATACAAATTACGCAGGAACTGCTAGTGGGGCGCTCCATTCAGTATATGGTAGTGTGGTCAATTTGTGTATTACTATTGTGTATTGCATTTAGGTTTCGATGCATACACGGAACGACCAGTTGAGCTAGAAAAATAGATATTTTGAGTACAGGTTCATATTCCGTGGGTTCGTGTTTGCGATACCTCTCGACGCTGGTTTTCCTAATGCGGAGTTTGTTTTTTAAATGGACAAACATACTATGCTTCAAGGCTGGTTCAATGATAAGCTGAGTGGGGTATTGTTAATTTTAAAATTTATAGCAACAAAAAATATTTACAATTGACAAAACAATAAGTTAATGACACGATGTAAAAAACCTAGCCCGCACTGTATGGTAGCAACATGATAAACTTTGCTGTTTCTTTGCCGAATAGTAACCTTTAATTTTTAATATCAATCAGTATGGAATGAAATTAAAATGTGACTTCGATAAATAAATTGTTGAAAAATTTTCGACAATGTATGTACCTATAAATAATAAGTGTTTTATAATTATTAAATAAGTGAACTACAAAAAATCTAATCATACAACAAAAGCGAAATCTTAAGTCGAGCAGTAGTTACATATTATGTTAACTTATAACCTCTTACAGGCTGACAGG